AAATAAGGTATATACACTTCCGACGTGGTAAACACCTGTACCTAGTGTTTAATATAAAGTAAACCGAAGAAAATATAGGTAACATACATACAAAGTTCTGACGTATATCTGTGTATCATTTGGGTAACATATTTGCAAGTTATTAAATGCATAGTATTAGCCTGTTTCCTTGTAGTAAAGTACATTACTCCCATACTTCCTCCATGTGAAGGCATTTCATCAAGAATGAACTACTGTGCATGTAATTTGCTTGAGTTAGGTGTGGTGTTATGACAATTAAAGACTCCTCCATCGCCGCTCGTAGTCTGTCTTCACGGTAAGCCCTGAGAGTCTGACCCGCTCTCCTGGCTGCAGCACTGGTACATACCCCGCTATGGCGTTGATGTGATGCTTCAGGGTAGCTTTGAGGACGCTGAAACAGTTCTCTATGGGGTTTAGAAATGGTGAATGTGATGGGAGGTACCTCACTTCATGGTTGGTCGTGGACTGTGCAGCATCACGATGGCACGGAGCATTATCCATGATGACAACGGCGTCTTCATCACCCAGAATAACATCTAGAGATGCTAGGAAGTGTGTGTAAAAACCTCCTTGGTAACACTTTTGACGTGAATTTTATGATAAATTAATCCACCGACGTCGGAGATAGCGGCCATCAGCGTTATATTTCCACCACGCTGTCCCCCTATGCGGTTCGTCTGACGCGCTCACCCCATGCTGCACGACCATACGTAAGTTTTGTGTACAAATTGTATCCAGTTTCGTCAACAAAGATACGGTGTTGTTGGAGCCCTCTCTCATACATGTAATGAGCATACTGCACTCGAGCATCTTTCACTTCACGCGAATTCCGGTCTTTGTGGGACATTTACACATTTCTTTACACTTATCAAAGCACCATCTAATGCTCTTGCCACTGTAGCATCACATACCTGCGGCTTTGTGGGGAAGGTATCTCGCAGTGCCTGGTTTAGTTCCTTTAAGATGATTGTCGGGACTTCCTCATTCATCATTACCAAGAAGTCCAGGGATTCGGCATCAATCTTGTGGTGTCTCCCTGCACGGTCACGGGTGTCGTGTACATGTCCCTTTCTCTGATAATTTCTTACGATGCCATAAGCGGTTGTTCTCTTAATGCCAAGGTCAGCAGCGGTGATGAGAAAATCCTCGTTCGCCTCGTATTTCGTAATAATCCTTCTCTTATCCTCCTCCGATGTAAGGTTGTTGCGACGAGGCATAGTTCCACGAGGGAGGGTACACATACACTGTTCTGTAGCTGGACCTGAGCCATCCAACGTAAACTTCCACGGTAGTAACGATGCCAGCCCATCATTATCACGGTTGTTACAGTGTACGTAGGTATTCTGTACTACAGTATAATGTGCCGGTGTTGGGAACAGAAAGTAGTACAGTTCCTATGTACTTTGCGATAACAACCATGTTGTGGTACTGTATATGGCAACTGTAGGCACTGTCTATGGTTCGAGGGTATAGAGTTTAAAAATCCAGATTCGTGTTTTACTATGAAATTTAATTTTCGATAATTGTCGTACTATTTTGCTATTGTTTTATATATCTACCCTGTTGACGCATATGTTAAGTGTAATTGTCGTTAGCAGTATCATTTGTCCAACTATTTTTACTTTTGTCTCATCTATTATTATATTGATATTGTATTTTATCTCTGTTTCGAACGATGTTCAATTGTTTCAAGACTTTGAACTTGGTCATAAATCACTGAAAAGCTGTCTATGTATAATGCATAAAGGAGTTATTGGAGATCCGGATGTTAATCGATTTCCAGATCGTGTTCGGAGATAACGGTTAGCAAAATGCAGTTGGCTAGTTGTCCGTTCTTCTCAGATTATTCCTTAACACTGGATCATGTAACTCGTTAACTTAGGGTGTGGTTACTGTGTTGGCGACAGCTTCTACATCTTATACAAATTCACGCCTAGGTGACCCTTGGGCGGGCCATCCTCGTACATGGGGGGCAACCATTATTATCAATATGGTCACACTGGTAAGAGAAGTAAAACCCCGGATTGGAAAAATAAAAGGCGAAATCTTGGTGCTGGTATATTTCAGTCCAGACACTAGGACCCTCTTGAACCAACTGACAGTATAAAGCAATAGATAAAACACAGAACATAGGAGGTCACAAGCCTCTTATCATTATGTTTCACTTTAAATAACTTCCCATTAGGCACTGGACGTCATGTTGTTATTATTCATGCAAATTGTTGCTTCCCTTTCACCTCTACTACACATTCACTTCATCCTTACCGACCCTTCCAAGTCTTCCCTTCTCCCACATACCATTTCCTCCGAATTATATGTTAATGGGTTTTTTCAAACTTTCATTTCCTAATCTCTCGCAATATCGGTAACAACAAACGTTACTTGTTCTGTTTCCTCCTCACCGTCTAATTTATCCTTCTTAGTACTATATCCTATTGATTTGACATATTTCCGTCAAGACCGCTGTTTCTAACTTTTCCAATTTCCTTCTTGCATCCAGAATCTATTTTTCACTCCCTCAAAACAATGTCGGTTCAATAATTCTTCTGTATGTCTTCAAATTTGTTTTATTTAAGACAGTTCTCTTTCTCCACATATATTCCTGAATATGTTTTACACTATCTTTTGTCATAGTACACACGATCCATCATTTATCAAGGCGGTATCATCACAGTCAATACCTCTATTACTTTCTTTTTAAACACTAACATTATCCTTTATCCATCTGTCGTACACTCACACCCCCCCCCCTTACTACACCATCCATAAAGAATAATAAACAGTCAGAGCGACATTACACATCCTTGACGTAGTCCTCCATCCACTAAGGCAGTTCCTCTCTCCCGACCCACTCTAACATGTGTTTCAGTCTCCATAAATGTATAGACTATGAACAGCAGTCAATAAAATCTCGTTCATATTAATATTGTTTCAGTAGGTCTTAACATCACGACTCTACAATATCTTCCACTTTCATAAAATTAATAACATAAACAATAATCTTAGCTTGTTTCAAAACTTTGCATTAATGTTGTTAAAACGAACACTTGATCCTGACACCATCAACAACACGTCGTATTCTTTTTTCTTTTTTTTTATTCTCACAATAATGAATTTACTAATATTTATTCCACTTGCAGTGTGTGTGTGTGTGTGTCCCTTATTCATTTCCACAGTTCTGGAGTTGAAATATGACAGAAAGATGCAGGGGCCGAGAGAATGGTCGTATTCGATCTCAAGTATTGTATTCTTATACTGTATATTCTTATTTCTTCATTCATTTTTAAATTATTAATGTATTTATATTATCCTTTTTTTATATTTCTTCATAGACATATATATATATATATATATATATATATATATATATATATATATACAATATATATATATATATATATATATATATATATATATATATATATATATATATATATATATATATATATATATATATATATATATATATATATATATATATATATATATATATATATATATACACACATTCATTCACATTAAACTACACGGCATTACAAAACATTGCGGCCGCTGGTGAACACAGGACATGTAATAATTTAATTAAGCCATCAGTGGCAAGTATTGCGTCACCCTGTATTGAGCGTAATGATGTTACCTGCCCCGAGAATAATGTGCCCTATACTGAGCGTAATGATATTAGCTGCCGGAGCATGTTGTGTCCTCTGCTGAGTGTGACTGTTACCTACCAAGAGCATAATGTAGTCTACCCTAAGTGAAAAATAATGTAACTTATCCTGAGCATAATTTGCCATATGCTGAGATAAATAATGTTACCTCCCACATAATACGTATACCCTATATTGAGCGTATTGACGTTACCTTCCTCCACAAGTTGTGCCCTACACTGAGCAAAATCATGAGTCCCGTACTAAGCGTAATTATGTTACCTGTCCCGTCCCCAATATGTCCACCTGTTAATGATTAGCATTAAAAGGCAATTTTTGTTGCAATAAATACAAACTGGTGACTCATTAAATGAGTAGCCAGTTTGTATTTATAAATTTTATCCATAACATTTTAAACTCCACATATTGATAATTACTATACAGAACATGCGAAATTATCCTTTCTGTTTTTTAGTCAAAATTAATATATACATGATAGAACCAGTAAGATTTTGTAGAGCAGTTAAATACTGTACACTATAATTTCTTGTGTATAGTACATTGTATATGAAACAAATCATTCAAAGTGAAGTGTTCATAATGCACAGCAATAACGAACTTCAAGTGATGCACAGCAATAACGAACTTCAAGTGATGCACAGCAGTAACGAACTTTCAGTGATGCACAGCAGTAACAAACTTCAAGTGATGCACAGCAGTAACGAACTTCAAGTGATGCACAGCAGTAACGAACTTTCAGTGATGCACAGCAGTAACGAACTTTCAGTGATGCACAGCAGTAACGAACTTTCAGTGATGCACAGCAGTAACGAACTTCAAGTGATGCACAGCAGTAACGAACTTTCAGTGATGCACAGCAGTAACAACTTCAAACACAGCAGTAACGAACTTTCAAGTGATGCACAGCAGTAACGAACTTAACGAACTTTCGGTGATGCACAGCAGTAACGAACTTTCAGTGATGCACAGCAGTAACGAACTTTCAGTGATGCACAGCAGTAACGAACTTCAAGTGATGCACAGCAGTAACGAACTTTCAGTGATGCACAGCAGTAAAGAACTTTCAGTGATGCACAGCAGTAACGAACTTCAAGTGATGCACAGCAGTAACGAACTTCAAGTGATGCACAGCAGTAACGAACTTTCAGTGATGCACAGCAGTAACGAACTTCAAGTGATGATGCACAGCAGTAACGAAGTGATGCAACTTCAAGTGATGCACACATTCGGTGATGCACAGCAGTAACGAACTTTCAGTAACGAACTTGATGCACAGCAGTAACGAACAGCAGCAGTAACGAACTTTCAGTGATGCACAGCAGTAACGAACTTCAAGTGATGCACAGCAGTAACGAACTTTTGGTAATGCACAGCAGTAACGAACTTTCGGTGATGCACAGCAGTAACGAACTTTCGGTGATGCACAGCAGTAACGAACTTTCGGTGATGCACAGCAGTAACGGACTTTCGGTGATGCACAGCAGTAACGAACTTTTGGTGATGCACAGCAGTAACGAACTTCAAGTGATGCACAACAGTAACGAACATTCGGTGATGCACAACAGTAACAAACATTCGGTGATGCACAGCAGTAACGAACTTCAAGTGATGCACAACAGTAACGAACATTCGGTGATGCACAGCAGTAACGAACTTTTGGTGATGCACAGCAGTAACGAACTTCAAGTGATGCACAACAGTAACGAACATTCGGTGATGCACAGCAGTAACGAACTTTCGGTGATGCACAGCAGTAACGAACTTCAAGTGATGCACAACAGTAACGAACATTCGATGATGCACAGCAGTAACGAACTTTCGGTGATGCACAGCAGTAACGAGCTTTCGGTGATGCACAACAATAACGAACATTCGGTGATGCACAGCAGTAACGAACTTCAAGTGATGCACAACAGTAACGAACTTTCGGTGATGCACAGCAGTAACGAATTTTCGGTGATGCACAACAATAACGTTCTTTCAGTGATGCACAGCAGTAACGAACTTCAAGTGATGCACAACAGTAGCGAACTTTCAGTGATACACAGCAGGCGCCATAGATCCACAGTAATTTAGCAATATGAAAACTTCCTCCACCACCCACTGTCTTGTCAGCTTTTTCAACTACATTACCACCATCTGGAAAAACGAAAGACGCCTGTGGCTGTCGCCTTCGTTGACTTCACCAAAGCATTTGACCTAGTCGACGGCAATTTAATCAACAAATCTGTCGACCTCGGGTTTCGGAGAAGTCTTACAGACTTCCTAAGTGACTGAAGCCGAGCCGTACACTTCCGAGGGGCTGTCTCCATCTTTCAGTCACTCTCCAGTGGCGTCCCTCAAGGCACCAAGTTGGGACCGCTCTGCTTCCTCATGCTTATCAGTGATGCCCTGAGAGAAACTCCACTCGTTGAAAATATGTTGACGACTCCACCAATGGGATCAATGTCAACAGCTCGGCCCCGACTACAGCGCCCTCCAGAATATATTGAACAATCTCCAAATTCGGGCCAGCAACAACCACGTCACCATCAGCCATACCAAGACCATGGTTATGCACATCAGTCTCTCCTATGACCTTGTCCCACCTCCCTCCATTACTTTGGGTCCCAACACACTCCAGGTTGTGGATTCCACTAAGCTCCTCGGCGTCACTATACTGTAGATAACAAACTAAACTGGTAAACACACGTAAATGCAATTGTCAAAACCTCCAGTTCTCGTCTCCACCTCCACCGTCGTCTCACGTCTCTCGGAGTTCCCGTGCTCTTCAGTGCTGACTCAGCGTTCATCCTTCCCAAGCTAACCTATTGCTTCCTCTGCCCGATCTTCCTCCCGAAATGCCACATAATGGAAACACCTAGAAAACGTGCAGAAGAGGGCGTGCAAGATTATTGTCTCCCCCTCCTCTCCACATATCAAGAAGCGCTCAACACACTGACCATCTCGGCTTTCTCTGATCATAACCATGACCTCAACTGCAAATCTGAGAAGAAGCTTACGCGCCATCCTAAACACCACAACCGCATTCAACCCATACGAGCTACTGATCGCTGTAAGAACAGCCCAATCCCAACCACTGTAAAAATTATCAAAAACTCGTAGTTAATCAGTGTTTTCACTCCCAGCCAATCTTACTTTTTCACCGTTACTATGTTGAAATTCCTAGTTGAATGATTCCCCCCTCCTTGTTATTATACTGTATATCATATTTGTATCACTTATGTTACGAGTATAATTATTATTTGTCAATCAAGTGACCATTCCCCAATTATGTAACTGTATTTTCAGCCAAATTTTTCAATAAACTGTTAATTATTATTATTATTATTATTATTATTATTATTATTATTATTATTATTATTATTATTATTATTATTATTATTATTATTATTACACACACACACACACTCGAGAGGCCGATACGGAATCGACAGAGCTTTCCACAGATGTTGCACGTGTGGGAAACTACATCTTGTGCGGAAGGGGCAGCAGCAGCAGCGTCTTTCCAGCGCTGGCGATTGTCTGCCTCGGTATACAGTCAGGCTAACTCGAAAGTATTGACACCTTTTCGTGTGGTGCTCCTCTAAGCATTACGGTGTGGAGTGATCATCTCCCAAGTGAGGGGGTCGATTTGGTACATTTTGAAGTTTGTCTTAACACTATCCTTATACCTTTTCCGTTTCCGCCAGCATTACGTTTACCATTCGTTAGGTGACTATATCGTAGCTGCTTTGGCAATCTACTGTCGTCCATGCGGTTAACATGGCCAGTCCAACGTAGTTGTTTATGGTTAATGGTAGTCTCGATGCTCCTACAGTTGGTGTCAGCGAGAATACTGGCATTTGTTCTCTTGTCTTCCCAGCGAACTCGAAGAATGGAGCATAGGCTACGTTGGTGAAAGTTTTCAAGTGACTTGAGGTGCCTCCTGTATGTGACCCATGGCTCGCTGCCATACAGCCGGGTGGGGAGGACCACTGCTCGATACACGTGAAGCTCCCTACAACTGATGACACAGGTATGGAAATGGGTAACATTAGAGAGAATAGTACAGTTGAGCTGGATGGACGGTGGAGGTGTAGTTGAACCAGGGGCATGCTGAAGGAGAATCCGAGTCTTATGTGCATTCACCTCAAGGCGTAGGTGTTAAGGTTCCCCTCTAGGTCACGTTCAGTGTGAGCGACGAGGGTGAGGTCGTCTGCATACTGAAGTTCAGTGATGGAAATGGCCGACACCTTTGTTCCTGCCTGTAGTCCTCTTATATTGAAAAGTCCTTTCATCCAGTACTGGATGTCCATCCCGCCAGCTAAATTGGCACTTGCACGATTAAGGAAGGCAGCCAAGAAAATGGAAAAGAGAGTTGTGCCAGTACACACCCTTGTTTTACCCCCGTTTGGATGGGGAAGAACTCGGACCGGGTACCTTTGTGTAGGACACTGCCGCTCATGCCATCGTGGAGCTGCCTCACAATGGCAATGGATTTTGGTGGGCAGCCAAAACGACTGAGGGTCCGCCAGAGGGTTTCCCTGTTGACCGAGTCGAAGGCCTTAGTAAGGTCAATGAAGGTCATAAACAAGTCACGTCGCTGTTCTCTGTATTTCCCTGTATCTGGAGGCAGCAAAGATCATGTCAGTGGTGCCACGTGATGGTCTAAAGCCACATTGAGATTCTGGGAGGAGGTTTTCCGCCTCAACAAGAAGTCTGTTTAGGAGGACTCAGGCGATGGCGGTGTCTTTTAGATCTTGGGGATTTTCTCCTTCTCCTATATATTCTCCAGGAGAGAGTGGAGGTGGGTGGTAAGCAGAGGTCCTCCTGCTTTATACACCTTGGCTGGGATTCCATTAGGCCCTGTGGCTTTATTATTTTCCATCTGCTTGATGGCAGGAGCTACTTCATTCAGTGATGGAGGATACTTGAAGTGGGTCAGCTCTGGCTGCTGAGGGAGCTGCTGGGTGGTCAGGACATCCACATCGGTGTTCCAGTTGAGCAGGGAATGGTAGTGGTCTTTTCAGCTCTGATGGATGCTTTCTTCATCTTTAATTAAGGAGTTACCGTCGGATGAGCGGAAGGGGGCCAAGCCATGAGTAGCTGGGCCATATATAGTTTTAGTGAAATTGAAAAATTTACACATCTTGTGTTGATCTGCAATTTTTTTAATTTCACACGCTATATTTTTCCATCATTCGTCCATTAGTTTGCGAAGTTCGCGCTGAGCCGCCGCTTTCTTTTCGTGGAAAGTATCAGCTTTGGTCCGAGAATGACGGTTGTGCTGCCAGTCAGTTTGAGAAGCACGTTTACTATTGACAATTACTTTAATATCTGGGTCATTTTTGTCAAACCAATCCCGGTGTTCTCTTTTGATCTGGCCGAGAGTCTCGTTGTAGGTCTTTGTGATGACAGCTTTGATGGGACCCCATTCGGCAATGGGATTTTGGTTGTTTGTTGTCGGGTTGTTTATCAGCCCATCGTTGAGCTTCTCTCTGAAAGCAAGTGCTATCGCTGGATTCTCCAGTTACTTGGCATTAAAGTCTCTTCTAGAAAGATGTTGCTTTCGCCATTTTGGGGCGACGTGAAGGAAGAGTTTGGCTCTGACGAGCCAATGATCTGTGTCACAGTGGTCTGAGCCACGTAAGGCACGGGTGATGAGGGCATCTTGGCGATCTCTTTCTCTGACACTGATGTAGTCAATGTGATGCCAATGTTTGGATCATGACGTGAGTAATTCGGTGGGACACAGAGCGTCATGAGGCTCTCGTTGATCCCAACACGCATTTCAGTTAGCCTCTGTAGGATGGATTGGCGAATGGCAAAGCCAACTCGGAAAATGCAGTTCATCTCCACTGTAGGCTCACCCTTCCAGAAGAAGGTATAGCCAAACCCGCCTTATGTGAGTCTACCCTCGTCTGGGAGCCAGGACTCATTAATGGTTGCTATGTCGATGTTATACCTAGCCAGCTCTTTTGCCACAAAGGCGGTTCTTCTTTCGTGATGCTCATTTGTGCCAGTATCCAAAAAGGTCCTGACATTCCATGTAGTGACCATAAGAGGTTGTATAATTTGATTTTACTTTGATCTGTGGTTATGATTATGTTTTCGACCGCATTTGGATGACCGGACTTGGTGCGGTTACTCGGTCAGAACAGTTTTTTAGGCAGGCTATGTCTTGGGCACCTTTTTTAGCTCCCTCCCCATGTGAGGTGAACAGAGTGGCTTCTGGACCGGATTGCACTGTTGCCTAGATCCCAGTACATAAACGACCACCTTATCTGTGCCGCCCATGTGCAGAGGTGTGATTAGCGACTCCCGGCAGTCATCTCTGCCTGTCCCCGTCGCCACTCATCTGTCGCCTTAGGGCTTTTGAGGGTATAGGGGTTTTGATGATGATGAGAAGTATGATGAGCTGGATGAACGTAGCGCGTGAGTTGATTTATGTGGTGATGCAGGACCGCAGGCTGCAACCAAACATCATGGCTCCCTTTTCCTGAGTCAGTGGTGCAGGAGGCTGCAACGACTGGGGTGAGGAAGAGTTGCAATAGACTGTCGATAGCCTAGTTTGTTGGGTTTCGCCTTAGTAGCCTGTCCATCTTGCATTGCCTTCATCCACCGGTGTAGTCATTGGGTTCCCATGTTAGTCACCTCTTCCGCCTATACCGCCGTTGGTGTCTTATTGGAGCTCTGTAAGCATGTCTGCCTGATGCTGGGCTCCACCACAAATTTTTCATTCGGAGTTTACTTCCATAGCCTTATACCGACCAAGGATAATCCGTAAATTAGCGGGGCATTGGTTGGTAGGCGCCAGGACGTGTCCACTTGCCAGTAGGCGTATGCGCCGTCCCTCTGGGGCCCACTGCTGCTCCGAGATCCCCTGCTGGTCTAGCCTGGGCCCATCGTGTGTTGCCACGAGGAGGCACAGCAGGAAACATGATGGTGAAGAAGCTGTGTACTGGCAGTGGAAGACTTACGCACGGTTGCTTACCCTGTTCACCACGATGGCTAGCGAGCGGCGGTAGCTGAGAGTAAAAGGAAGCAAGCAATTTCTGCACCTTAACACTAACATAATGCTGCCACGCTAGACG